AGTGATGAAGTAATGAGCAACTTAAGATCTACGTGGACATAATATAGTCTACAGGGCAATACACACTGGCAACTCAACATATATGTTAAGACAGGAAGTGCTCTACAAACCAATGGCCACCATTTACGTAAGGTAAGAATTGAAATAATTCTATCTTTACTTTACAGAAACGGTGGCCAGTGGTTTATACAGCCCTTCCTTCTTAACGTATAGCCTTAAGTTCCCTGTGTGTATTGCCCTTTAGACATGCAAAAATGCTTCGCTTGCTCATAGATCATACAGCACACAATCTATGGCTTGCTTTTGCTCGCCCTTTGAATGTTTGACATTCGTCTAGTATTGATGCTTTTTTGTTGATTTTATCAAAGCAATTCTTTTTTGGCCTTGCCAGCAATTAGTGTGGGCGAGGACTTCGTAGTTAAGTCTGGTGTCCTTTATTCACTCATTCATTCATTCCGTCCACCATAACTCTCACTTTGAAGCTCTGTGATTTTAAAAGGAGTTTCATTACAGTCCCCAGAACTTTGAAAAAGTTAATTTCTACTACTTTATCAAGTATAAATGACAGTAAATGGCACCAAAAGTCATCAATTTTGCCAAATGTAGAAGGTTCTCGATGGATTTTTTCATGCTTAGAGTAACAGGGCTTTAAAGTATCTTTAGAGAGTCACAGAAACTTACTTAAACTAACAACATAGCATTTTGCTGGAACTTTTTTTGTTTTGAAGATATGAATATCTAAAACTACTTACCTCTTGACTTTACATGAGGCACTTGTCCTTTGGAAGGGTAGTTTAAGTCTATAAACTTTAGACACTTGACAAGAGTTGGTATGCAACAAACAAGAATATTAGCATTATGTTGCCAAAACAAAACAATTCCTGCATCACTCAATAACATTCTTCACTGAATCGTGCTTTGAGAAGCAGTCACTGAAAGTAAGACATTTTTGCCTCAAATTTGACAGAAGCTAAGACTTGATGGTACCATCCTGCAAATCCTTCATAGACAAGTAGCCAAACTTCTTGCTATATCGCACATGAATCTCTACATTTTGTTGCTTAGATAAGGCTACTTTGAAGTTGTTTTCTCCATTCCTAAAATTACGTATTAAAATACTTTCCGCTGACACTTGATTGCTCAAGGGCATTAGGAAACTTGACTTATGAGCCAGTAGATATGACATTCAAATTAATGTATTATTCAGATGGAACGGTAAGTCAGTAGAGAATGGTCATAAAATGCAATGACTTCTTATACTATTATAATAACAGTTTAACATGTGTAGATACATGTATAATTCTCTAAAACTCGAGTCAAATGATTTTGAATGTCCACTTTTCAAAAGACAAAAAAAGGAATATCTCAAGTCTAAACATCACGAATATCATCAATAGTGTTAGTCTCGCCCCACCCCTTCGCTACCTGCGGAGGTAGCGAAGGGACGGGGCGAGACTACAATAGTGTTAATTGTTTTTATTTAAAATGTTATTTATCATTAATCTTGTTATTTATCAATTGTTGTTATTTATCAAGAGTGCTGTTATTCATCACTATAGTGTAGTCATGTTGCATATGTGCTTCAAATGGACTCAGAATAGACCAGTTGGCGCTAATTGTATTCAGTGAATATAGACTATATTCATCGTGATACCGTAAATAAAGTAAAATTTTCCTGCCGTCATTATGGAGTCTTAGTTACTAAGAGTAGAATGGGAGAAAGTAATATATCTTTGCTTCTATATCTTCTAGTGGCACTTATTAAAGTCCATGAGCCAACTCTAGACACTGGATGATGGTCAGTAAGCAGTAGCAATACTGCTGTAACGAATAAATACAGCAGTTTTTGGAGAAAAAGCTCTTTCCACGATCGCTCTATAGACAACCCTTGGAAGTAGGACTCCAAAATGGCAGAAGGAAAATTTTACTTTATTTACAGCATCACAATGAATATACTTAAAATTCTATGAATATACTTAGCACCAACTGGTCTATAGCATTTAAAGGGTAAGTCTGGTGTATTTTTGGGATATTAATTTTATTAGCTTAATATGATTGCCTGACCATAATAATGATGTATTCTAACCCCCATTGTCTAAACAAGCGTAACAGGGTAAAAATATTCCTATAATTGATTTCACCACCTTGCAAGTACAACTTGGTCATTATTAAGACTTATAGAGGCTCTCTCTACCTTATAATGCTTCTAGAGAAGTCTTTAGACAGTATCTCTATGCTCTCTTGCTGTTAGAAAGCTCTTAACTTTGTCCCATGTGTAAGCCGCCATTTTGTTTGCCGTGGCCACACCCACTCACGTAAAGGAGCGTGGGCGGGTAGTTGCTAAGGCTTGTTATTTCTCCAATACAACGTGTATAGAAGAAATGTAAGTGTGGACATACAAATAAATAAATATATATATATATATATATAGATAGCGCGATGGTGAATTCAATTATAGGAACGACCTGGGGGCTACGCCCCCAGGTCGTTAAAAATTTTATTCACAGAGATATGAGCTTTGAAAAAAATGCTCATTTATTGTTACTTCCTGTCATTGGGTGTGGCTAAACGTGACATCACCAGAGGCATAGCTGCAGCTAAATCCATTCCTTTATAGGGGGAATTAATGCTTTATTCTCATGCCAAGTAATGTAATAGCACTAATTTAAAGATTGGAATCATTAGTCCTCATTATTCTAAGCATGCAACAGCAAGAAAAAGGCTCAAAATATTTAAAAAGCAATCGAAATTTCGAATACATGGTAGTACAACAGTAGTACCTAGTCCCCACTTACAAAAACATGGGCAAGGCCATAAATACTACTAGAACTTTTCTAACTGTTTAGATTTGACCAGTAATAATTTATTAATAACTAAAATAAGCATATAGAAAAATGCTCCTTAAAATTTCTAAGAAAACTTTGAAAGCATGACAATGCATATACATAATC